CTCAGCGCATCTTCTGTTGTGAGAAACGGCGCAAAGTGCTTGCATGTCTGAGGTGTCTGCTTCGGCGCAAACCTTGCTGTGTGGGTTCTTCAATGGCAATTGTCCTCACTGCGTCCTGGAACAAAGCCACCTGCTCCGGTGTCCACACCGCAGCTGAACATAACAATTCACCGACCTCTGTGAGGCCGCTCCATGTCAGGCCACTTTCGGAAATGCTCCTACACAGCTGCTTCGCCTGGGCAGCCCTCGTCTCGTTGAACTTGGGCTTGCCCTGCTGGGAATGGAGGAACTTCTGAATCTCCTCTATGTTTTTCTTCAACCTCCTGATGCTGACAACCGACAACCATCAAATGTATCGTTTGTCTACATGAGATAAACATTCGCGTCAGGTCATGCGTCCACAATGGGATGTAGCCGTGAATATCGGCTATATATGGTTATACATATGTATCCGTTGTCAACATCAGATTTAATGACCATCAAGACAAAATAAGAACCACTCTCAAACAGGAAACACATTGTACCGTTTGCAACCCAAGAATCTCTGCTGTGGTGGCCATGCTCAGATTGAACGCACGCACATGGGCAGGGCAAACCAATCCACTACTGAGCCCGACCAATCGTGAGGCGATCACCCTGTGACCAGCCCCTGTTCACGACACACATAATGTGCGCGGGCGTGTCAACCAATTTACAACTTACAATTTGTGAAACATGTGCCAACAGAGGCCTTGGCTCGCACAGCAGTTGGAGCAATATTGATCGTTCCAAAGGGGTCTTGCAACTATAAACACATCAACAAACACAATGTTCAAACCTAAGTCAATGAGTTGCGCGTTTCAAACACGTGACCTATATACTTCGGCCACGCTATGCTCACGCGTCGTGCTTCTTCGACTGGTAGGTGAAATCAAGCTTCACAAAGATGCGCTAGCATTAGTGTTGTGTGTCACCAATGACAACGTCGAGGCAAGTCAGTCAACTGGCATCACCACAAGGCTCCCCTGCGTGCAGTTCTCCATGTACCAGCTTCGAGGACGACGAACAAACCTGTGGGCAGGGCGGCAGAGGATTTGTTCGGTGACATGAACGCGTGAACGCAGGCGGTACAACAGTTTCACAAACAAACACCTGTTCCATCACAGCGGATGAACTTGCAATCATATGTACCATGCATGGACACGCAAGCCTCACGTTTTCTGGGTCTCAGTCGATCAGCTGAGAAAAGCTGTACTGCAGTGCAGGGTTGCCAGGAGCACCTCCTTTTCGGCTGTCGACCAACTGAGAACAGCTGAGACTGCCGCGCATGGGGGCCTGGCCAGGAGCAACTCCTATCAGCTGTCAACCAACTAAAAAAAAGGCAGGGTTGCCAGGAGTGACTCCTACAACCTCATGTGAAACGCCTGGGCTCTGTGAAACTGCTTCACCAAGCCAGTCACTGTCCCTGCGCATTTGAGTGGTTGTGACAAGGAGGTAGCCCATCATTATTGATGGCCACGATTATTGATATTCTAAGCGATTGTGTAACTTGATATGAGAGTGTGCACATTTGTATACTGGGTTTCTCACGTGGCTACATAAATGAGTGTGAGTCGTATATTATATGTGTGTGAGAGGGTTGAGGCTGAGGTTTGAGTGTTGACTTCATAAGGGCACTTCACCCTGGAAGGAGTCGTGAGAGAGATACCGACACATGTCCACCATGGCTGGCTGCATGCCTACCGCTTTTTTTGCACGGCGTCCTTCAAAGCACGTGCCATGTCTTTCACAGCGGAAATAGTCTCCGGCCGCTCCTCATGCGTCAGCTCGCTTGCCGTGGCTATCTCAGAGCGGTGAAAAACGTAAATGCAATCGTGGAACACACAAAACACTCACATGGAGTGATGTGCTGCATGAATTGCATGCGCGCAAGCAAACATTGAGCTAAGGGACGTCATTCTCAATGCTGCGCAGCTCCTGCTGAGCTTCCTGTAAGAAAGCGCAAACAATTCAAGCCAATCAATCAACCACACTGCGCACTGAAACAAGACAACGTGATCTTCTAGGATCACGCGCGCCGAGAGACCTTCATCCGGACATTGATTCCACCACGTGTCCGTGCCCTCGCACGGTCCGATATCCCTGCGCGGTAGGCCGCAACGTGCTCTTCTAGGATCAGCTTTCCGTCTATCTCCGCCCAGCCATTGCCCAGCTCTTGCCCTCATGCCACAGCACTTTGCCCTCATGAGCCTCCCCCTCTTGCTCCTCCTCGGCATCCTCCTCGGCCGCAAGAGAGTTGGGAGCCGTGTGGGCCCCGATTTCATGGGAAACGCATCAGCTGCCTCCTTGAGGCTGCGAAGAAAGCGGAGGTGGCCGTCGATTTCGTGGAAGGCCCCCGATTGGCAGCTTGGGGGCAAGGAGAACGGAGATGCCAAAAAAAGGGCTGGCACTATGGCCTCATAGACTTTGTCACGTCAGAGTTTGTTCAGGGCCTTGCAAGGAGGCGCAGGGGGCTGGTGGTGCAGATTTGCGTTGGTGAAGGCAGAAGCCCCAGTTCCGGCCAGCGCCATTGTGTTGCAACTCCAGATTGGGGAGATACTACTAGGTGGGTCAAGCCGGCCCGCATGGAATTGCAAGGCGGACAGCCCCGGAGTCCAATGGTCCACAGGGCGTCGGGCACTACTGGCTTGATGATGGAGAACGGCGCGTGCTTCATGGTCTTGGTGGACCAGTGCGGTGGCCCGTGTTTTGTGAAGAGACTGGCACGCTGGAGACGGTGTATGTCTTCGACCGCAACGGCCCTCCCGATTTCATTCGAAAGCTGACGGACAAGGAGGTGTGGACCCTACAAGGCCGGTCTGGTGTCCCACGTGGCGAGGTCGACGGTGACTATGGCAAGTGGATCGTGGAGGGCGCCAAGGCCACTGGGGCCCACACCCCGCGACGAGCCTGTTGACGGTTGGGGGTTAAACCTTGCTACAAATAAAAAAGAGTGAGCTCCCACCACATAGGGGGGCTACATCCATGTTCATCGTGGGCCCTGCAGGACACCCGGGCAGGTATGTGCCGTGATGCTCAAGGAGCTGAGGCGATGGCACAGATTCTACTGTGGTTGAGACGCTGGAAGCGCGGTGAGGCGCCGTTTGCCGATGATGAGGAGGATGAGAGCCTATGGGGTGGTTGCTATGCGGGGGGAAGAACCCGCAAGAAGACTGGCCAAGTCGTGGCCGTACAAGGCCTCCTATGTCAGCCTAGGCCTTTCGATGGAAGGGTTGCCGCTCGAGTGGAAGAGTGGCTCAAAGAGAGACAAGGGAGCGAGCGTGCAGGTTTATGGGCAAAATGGAAGGCGTGGGCGCGGCAAGGGCTGCCGTCTGAGTACCTCAATCGCAAGGAGGACGTTGTGGACAATGAGAATAAGGTGTTGGGCTTCATCGGGTACCTGGGTTAGGGTTGGCTGGGTGCTTCAGGAGCCACGATCAAGCAGGCCATCTTCGCCATCAAGGACGGGCGCAAGAAAGCTGGTGGGGGAGACCCGACAGACCTTATGCGCCGTCTCTGGATCTTGGCCAGGGCAATGGACAGAAGATCAGTCCACAAGCCGAGGCGGCTGGGGGTGCTGACGTGGATGGGACGCAACTTGGTCGACCGCTTGGAGGAGAACAGCTTGGCATTCCCTGAAGCTGCAACGGTGCAAGCCGCAATGGTCACCGCCTGGTTCTTCATGTTGCGGGCCAAGGAGTACTGCAACAGTAACGGAGTTGATGAGGACATAGTCTTGCGGGGCATCGACGCCCGCTTCACGAAGGACGCTGAGGTCGTGGAGGGCAAGGATGCGAATGAACTCACCATGCAGTTCAGGAAAACGAAAACGGACCAGTTGGGGTTCGGAGAGAGCAAAACTCTGAAGGCCACTGGTGAGCACCACATCTGCCCTGTGGAAGCGCTGGTGAGGATGCAGCGGGCCTGGCCGACTAGGTTCATGAAGGAGCGCGGGGATAGCGTGCGACATTTGTTTCGGTGGGCCAATGGCGTGGTGTTGAAGCGGGTGGAGGTGCAGTCGCTGCTGCAGCAAGCTGCGAAAGGGGTTGGCCTTCCACCTGACAGATTCATGAGCCATAGTCTCTTGATTGGATGGGGATCGAGCTGGTCAAGCGGCAGGGCAGGTGGTCTAGCAGTGGGGAACTGGACAGGGAACTGGGGGCAGCAAACTGGGAGAGGGAACTGGGGTGCAGGGACTAGGGGCAACCAGCTATTGTCAGTGAAAATGGCACAGCTTGGGAACACCATTGCACACGCATCAAAGGATACAACCAACATGGTTGTGCACCGCCGCTGAAAAGAAGCGGTTTTTGCAGCAGAGCGAACACTTAAGTTGGAGGTTAGACTTGTGTAACTTAGACTTCAGTGTGGGCGACGCTTTAGAGTGTTTTAAAACCAGGGGACTCAACGAGGACCCACCCCTGCCACCCAGGGACGAAGGCCAGAGGCCACATGTGATGCACGCGCATCAAAGATACAACCAACATGAGTGTGCACCGCCGCTGAAAAGAAGAAGCGGTTTTTGCAGCAGAGCGAACACTTAAGTTTCTTTCTCTTGGCCTCTTTACGGCCCTCCCTGGATCTTTGACTCGGTGCGGGGCTATCGTGGCTTCGTTACCATGCAAAATGACATATCTTTTCTCTCACCTCTATACACTTGCATCTTCGCACGCTCACATCTGCAGATCTACCTCTCCACCTCCACACATCTGCGCATCTATATCGCACCTGCGCATCCACACTGTCACTCCTTCACATCCGCCCTCTCTTCCTCTCTTTCTACATCTTTTCTCTTCATATTTTAAGTCTAATTTCTTCGCAACTTCTGGTTCAATAACAGAACAGATTGTATAAAGAAGTCATGGCTCTTAGACAATCGATTTTAACCATTTCATGACTCGACAGTGCTGGACAATCACCTGTCTCGCTCTCGGGCCAACCGTCATCTAGCTGCTTTAACTCAACGTGTTTTTGCCTAAAAGGCGCAAGAACTGCGCCGGCGAGATCGGAACTTTGTGCCCATGTCTGTGGCCAGTGAACTTCTTGCGAAGCAGCTGCAGCTCACAGAGGCACAACAGGGAGACAACTTTGACAAAGCGAAGCGCAACATGGAAGAAGCAGGGAAACAAGAAGCAAGCAGAAGGTCCAAAATAGACAGAGTTGCAAAGCAAGCAAAGCACCTTTGTTCGTTGTGCATTTGTTGACTAAACCGGTTTTGCCAATTTCGATTTCATTCTGAATGCTGCTTCCAGCAGCCAGTCGGGATGACGTGCTACAGGAGAAGGCAGCCGAGTCCACACGGCATGCAGCCACTGCAAGGCAACCAAAAAGTTGCGTAACGAAGGAGTTGACGATGTTGACATCAGAGGCATACGAAGACTTCTTGCAAACGCTCCTCGCTTGAAAAGCCGCTCTTTCCCACGCGAACTTGACAAAATGGGTAGTTTAACAGTCGTGTTACAAATCTCCAACATTTGTTTTCGGCGCGAGGCTCTTTGCTTCACGCAGTTTGGCTGCTTGCCTCGCTGCAACTCTGGCGCCCAAAGTTGCCACATCCCTTCAACAAGCGCTTGATGCACTGCGTGTGCTGAGAGCCTCTGAGAGAGCGTGCTCCGCCTCTCTCAGACGGCTGAGCTTCGTTCTGCGGAACGCAGCTTTGTGTTGGTCTCAGGAACAGCTGAAACAGCGCAGAGACATGCTTTTCGGAAGCGTTTGTTCATGGCTGTTCCCTTAAAGCGCAAACTCGAGGTTTTCTAATGTTAAGTTTCCCTAAAAATCTAGAAACCACATGAATAGTGCGAGCGCTTCTTCAAGGGGAGTTTCCTTGAAGAAGCTTGAGCTATCTTGCGTCCAGTAGTTAGTAGCTACTTGTTAGCTACTAGCTGCCTAGCTACTAGCTACCTAGCTACTAGCTACTACCTCTAGTGGCCTCCCTCCTTAAAGAACAGATAAATACATATTTACATTTTTACAGTGAGAGAGGAGCGTGCTTAAAACAAAAATCAGCGACAGCGCCCAGGCGATCACTCCACCTCGGTCTGGTTGCCTTTGCGCGCACGGGAGCTTGCCCTTGCTGCCAGCGGCTTGCAGGGACACTCAACGCATCGCCGCTTCGTCGCTTCCGTGAGAGTTGCTCTTTGACGCATGCTTTTTGAGGCATTTCTTTGCAGAGCTGTTGAGAAGGGCCGAAGTGCTAGAGGAGCTGCAAAACAACAGGTGCCTATGTGGTTTGCGATCAAGAAGTGTATTTTTTGTCGACTGTTCAGGCGCTTTCCAGAACATTGTGGATGCTGAGAATGCGCAATGCGGTGGAGGCGCAGCACTTCGTGACGCGACTTGCGCCTTTGCAGTAGCTAGTAAAGCGTGCGCGTACTGCTGCGGGTGTGGTGGTGGTGGTCGTCGTCGTCCTCCTCCTCCTCCTCGTCGTCTTTGTCGTGTTAGTCGTCGTAGTCGTAGTCGTAGTCGTATTGGTAGTGGTAGTGGTAGTGGTGGTCGTCGTGGTCGTGTGTCAGAGGTGAAATTCTTGGATTTGTTAAAGACGGACTACTGCGAAAGCGTTTGCCAAGGATGTTTTCATTGATCAAGAACGAAAGTTAGGGGATCGAAGACGATCAGATACCGTCCTAGTCTTAACCATAAACCGTGCCAACTAGAGATTGGAGGTCGTTACTTGCATGACTCTTTCAGCACTTTATGAGAAATCAAAGTCTTTGGGTTCCGGGGGGAGTATGGTCGCAAGGCTGAAACTTAAAGGAATTGACGGAAGGGCGCCGCCAGGAGTGGAGCCTGCGGCTTAATTTGACTCAGCAGGCGCCTGCCAAAAAGATCAAGCTTGAGGAGGGAACAGCAAATCTCTCAATTGGTGGGCCCGTCACTTCCCTTACACTCAGAAATGCTTGTATTTGCATTTGTCTTGTTCAAGTGCAAATGCAAATGGAATCCATGATTTCGAGATAGCTCGAAGTATATTTCTTTGTTTGCCAACTCCAACTGTTAGCTAGTATCGAATGTTTTTCCATCAGGGTTTGACCTGGAGATAAGGCAAAAGATCAGCTTGAACAACTGCTCGGAGTTGATCACATGTCGTGATGGCAGCTCTATTTACCTTGCTTCCAAAAGCAAAAATGACTTTCAGGCACACCGTGAGCTGGTTCTTGTCAGCACTAGCATTGAAAGAACGCACAATGGATTAACCAACAACATGCCTACTGGACCGAACATATTATGCCCAATTCTTGCCAAGGTTTAGCTTTGGCAGTGGAGAGTGGAGATCTGGCAGCGATGCTCAGCTCAAAGGTCTTAACCACCGCGACCAACAAGCAAAACATAAATACGATGTGAGCATGTTGTTGGTTATAGAAACATCTGCACTGACCTTCATCTTCCGCCAGGAAGCTACAGAATGTATGCAAGATATTGCTGGCCGGTGGTTTAAATTCTTGGCTGCAATGGACACCTTGGTGCTCCTGGAACGCAAGGACCTGCCCGAGCATTTGACTCAATGTCCTTCAGTGGACCGTCCGGTCATATTGAAGACGCTTCTTTTGGAGTTGGAAGACAATGGAGAGGTTTGACAACTGCCCAAATAAACAAAGTGTTGTTTTTGAGTTGTCATTCTTGTGAGAGTGAATTACTTTGTCCCTCCTTAGCAGGTGGCCGTGAAGATGAGCCATCATGTCTTCACTGGCGTGGGTGGACAACGAGTTCTACAAGCTGATAAGCCCTTATGCTTTCTTCTGGACGAGAAGAAGGACCCAAATGCTGAGGAGAAGAAAGGAAAGAAAAAGAAAAATGCCAAGGATCAAGCGCCTTCATTCAAGAACTTTGGTGCCCTACTGAACTTGGGGAAGCTAAAGGGTGCCCAAAGGTGGTCATTGGCTGGCGGATGAGGCCCTGTATTTATGTCGCATGTGCTTCCACACGTCTAACGTGCAACTGTGATTTGTGTTTACCTTTTTGAACTGTGAACTTGTGCCTTAACATCTTGAAGGCTTGACTCTTCAGACGGGAGCAAGACCTTGACACCAATCCGGCCCATCTGCTGCCTTCTCGCAGCCTTTCAGCTGAGCAGGCCAATGTGCACGTGATGTAGCCGGCTCGGGTGATGGCAGTTGCTTTCGTGGGTTTTGAGGGAGGATGAGGGTGATGTGGTGCCCAAACCACACAGAGTCCAACTGTATCTTCAAAGTGCAGCCTAGCCAAACAGAGACAAAACAATCAAATAGTATATGCATGCGTTTGTTAAACCAACCAGTATGTTTCCTGGGCTTGCGAGTGAGCGCCTCCCATTGGGATCGTGTGGAAGAGAGAGTGAAGGGACTCTCCTTTTTTTGACACGCGCATAGATGCTTGGATGTGTCAAGCAACCTCTTCAAGAGGACCACCACCTGGCTGACAAAACAGATTGTGGTGTGCATAGTCAAATGTGATCAGTATGTTGCGCACAAACCTGTGTGCGCAAACAGCATCTTGGCACCATCGCCGCAGAGTGGGTTCAGCATTTTTGGGGTTCCTAGTGCTGGGTCCGTTTTCACTGAAATGTCAGACAGTGATATCGAAGTTGTCATTCCAAAAGCTACTTTCAGAGCACCAGTACCTTGACTATGCTCCAACTTCTTCTTGCATGGTATCATTGCTGGCAAGATCCTTAAAAGATGTCGTGTCAAACGCACCAGTCTTTTCGATGGTTTCTTGATAACCATTTCCCTGAGGCTTTCAACTTGGGCAGGGTGCTTGCCGATCAGCCCAGGGCCCGGGCACTTCCATCGCAGCCAAAGTCACGGCCACCTCCTGCGTCGATTGTGCCTGCAGCAAAGGCTTCAGGTGGAAGCAACTTGCCTAGGTTCGCTGTGTTGTTGTGTTGTCTAGGTGTCATAATAACTCACAGCATCAGAATGAAACATCTTAGGTGCTTCAGCTACACCTTCAGGGTCGGCCCACGCGCTTCCGCCCGGTCAGCAATTCTTCTGAGTCATCACCCAACGAAGAGAAAGTGAACCAAAACCAAAACCAACAGCAAAAGGGCGCAGCAAGACTCAAAACATCAGGAAAAGAAAAAACATGACAAGAAGGAGGAGGAGGAGGATGAACCACCACACGACCCAGACCATGAACCACTGGGTGGTGAAGACGATGAAGATGAGGATGACAATGACTATGGTTTTGGTCTTGATGGTATGGATGAACTGCTGGGTGGTGGGAAGAAGGATGAACCCGTGAAGAAAAGATCTGCTTCCACAAGGCTGGTTTCACATGGTCAAACTATGTCCAACTTTTTGTGCCTTCCAAAGCACATTCAATGAATGCCCTAGTGTGTAGGAAAGGGGACGCGAAGAAAAGGCCAGCCAGGAAGAAGGACATTAACAATCTGACTCACCATCATCCACTCATTGTTGAGCTAAACCATCGATACTGACAGGACGACTCGAGAATATTGAGAACGCTCATGGCGGTGATGGATATGAAGAGGGTGAACCTGAACACCATGCATCTCAAGAGACCCAAAGAGTGATGACTCCAGAGATTCAGGCAGAACTTCTGAGGCTGGACCACTTACTTGAAAAACAAATAATGTCTCGAATTGGAACTATGCAAACTACTTGCGCTTAGTTTTAACAAACCATGTTGCTTGACAGGGAGATTGAGGAGCTGAAGAAAATGGCCGATGAACAGGAAACTTGGTAGAACACAATTTGGAGGTTACAGATTGAACGAATAGAGAGAACAGCTTCGAAGCATGAAACTGACAAGGACAAAGCCAAAAAGAAGGGTACGGCCAGTGGAAAAGCTTCAGGTGACCTGCAGGCAGGCTGGCTTTGCTTTGATGTTGTTGATGTTACCGGAAGGTGAACTGCTCGTAGAATTTGATGACTTGACTTTGGCCTGGTCAGAATTATTACCACACTCTGTTCAGGAGACCTTTTCCTATGAGGTGCCGGCTGACCAGGAGATCAATCCACCACCAGTGGACGATTACAAGGCTAGTGGTAGACACATATCAACATACTGGCAACATCTTCCTCCCAACTGGTTTTCTTGACCATAAGTATAATTGTATTTCATGAACCTGAGATATTTATGAAATATTTATAGTGTACAGATGTCCAAAACAGTGATTGGGGACCAACAACACAAAATCCTTAATCTTGAACGGGGCTGGATGACAGCGGGAAAATAACATTTAATGCTTCAATTTCTTCAGTTGGCAGGATATGGATGGCGTGACAATGGAAGATTTTTTTGGTCCTTTGACTGATGGTGGGGCTAGTGATGAGAATCTCGGCCGGACAGAAGACAAGCAGGAGGCTATGCTGAGGACACCGGATGCTCCTATGGGTATGATGGATGTTGATCTCAAGGAACCCTTGCAGAAACTCAGTGATAAAACGAAAACAAGCTGTTCCATGCTGTTCCGACGTTTGTCTTTTGAATGTCTTTCTGAGGCATCAATCCCAAGAGCTTCCCGAATCTGGCCCTGGTGATTTGATTCAGCCTATACTGAACCTGATCCACCTGCTTCACCTGAAAGCCTTGAGGTGCAAACTGAAGAGGACTACTCGTTCGGCCCGGACAATCAACTAGGTTTGTCTAGCAGCGCTGAATCAAAGCCTCAAGCGGATATTCAACTGCAATTTGTTTAGTTTTGGCAACGGAACATCACACTGAAACCAAACAGACCTGTATCCACAAGGCCTTGAAATCAATGAAGAACAAAGAATCTTGGCCGTCTGCGACGCATGAATGGCAGCGACGAATTCGGGGCTTGCCTTGATGGTGATGAGGCACATCAGTACATGGCGCAGCTCAAAAGAACTTGAACTTGTGGTTTGCAACCGTTTGCAACTTTTGCGTGTCAGGCATGTGTGGAAGTGGACAGCAAGGATGTTCAATCGTCATCGCCCACAGATTTGGAGGCTGGAAAGAACCCGGCAATTAAAGAGAGTTCCATAATAATTCAAATCATACTTTCAAGATTAGATCTAAGAAGAATTCTTTGCCCATTGGTTCTTTCTGTAGGGCCTGGAGCAAGCTGATCCACCCGCTGCCTCTTGACTGTCATGGGCATTGGGTTGTATTGGAGACATGATGCATCATGATGTCACGAAAGTAACATTGTTTGTGACAGTGCTTTGGAAATCCAAGGCAGTTCTCAAAGCTCGACCAAAGCCCAAGCCATGTGTGAAGGGCCGGGCGAAGGCTGCAGCAGCCAAATCAAAATCCGCCAAGCCCAAGGCAGCAGTGAAAGCAGCTAAGGGCAAAGTGAAGGCAAAGGGAAAGCAAAGCCCAATGAAAAAGCCCTCTGCGCAGCGTGCTAC